CCTATCTGTTTCACGTATCACTTGCATGTTTCCATGCCTGTTGCTCAAGGTTCTAGCAGAGTACGATCTACAGCTGTGCGCCTGTAACAAAAGAGACTCCTGTGTGCCTGTGTTCCTGTACGCCTTCGCGAGGGGATACACGCCCAGGTTACATCTCATGGGGGGGGTGGGCAAACCCCCGACATAAGTTCAGACAGAAAGTTCCATCTCCAAGCTGGAAGCGGAGGAGGCGCCAGCTCACTCTATATGAATCACTGACCACACAGGGTACGTAATGACGATGTCCTTGCCTCGGCTGGCATTATCTCTGCCAATTTGCGGAGGTGGCCTAGCACAACCTCCCTCAAGGCGCTAAAGGCCTTGAGATTGATTTGCAAGCTCCCAGCTGGAGGCTATGCAGTGACAAGACTCAGTGATGATGTCTATGGGGAATCGGGGGTGGGGTTGGGGGGGGCCTCAAGTGGGCAGGCTGTGAGTGGGCCCGCCACGGAACCGAGCCAAAAAAATAAGAAACAATCGGCGGGCTGGGGTGGGGTTAGTTGAGTTCAATTCCTAGACGCCGATGCCTTTGCGGATTTTCAACCAGTGCATGCCCTCGATGTCGCAGAACCCTTCATGCTTATTTCTGTGAAGCAGGCGGATCGAATACTTCAGTCACCAGGGTGCACACGCGTCTCAGCTGGTCCAGCTTTGGAGTTTCCGGCGTCCTGGGTTTGAGGAAGGCTCATTTGGCCATGTGCTTCGTAGTTGGGATGGGGGTCAGATTTTTGAAATATCCTAGAGCTACGAGACCTGGATCGTGAGGAATGAAGCGTCACCAAGAATTCAAGACAACTTGTTCAGGAGCAGCTGGTGCACAGCACTGCTGCGGTAGGATTGATTGCTGCTGCTTATGTGCTGCGGGGGTTTGTCGAGGTGCAGCACAAGATCAAGTTTCGGGGCATATTCAGCGATGACTTTCACCTGGAGCGAATGCCCTACGACCGGCAGATACTGCGAGTTCAGGCTTGGCCCCGTGCTGGTCCGGGCATTCTTGTCCAAAGTAGGTATGTACAGCACTTTCAGTACTTGGATCAGTCTGAGTGTCCGACGCCGATAGAACGTTGGCCCAAGCTCAGCGGACTAGTGGATCATGCAAGCCGCCTAATGTAGCAAGCCTTGCCAGGTGGTGGGCGAGGTCCCAGAGCTCTGGCCGCAAGGGACCAGCTTACACAGCTCATACACCCCGAAGATAGGTCACCTTGTGAGACCTAAGTCTAGAAGGGCACTCGAACCCTTGAGTGCATTTGCCCTCATGCACTGAAGGTCTATATGATGCGCTTCCTGCCTACTCAAACAGGGGCCGGAAAACTGCTGTGGCATCAAAGTCGCGAAGACCGCTGCTGTCTTGCATCAAAACCGGGGTTTCGGGCCTTTGCGTTTCAGCTCTTCAGGGCGCAGGGTCGGCAGGAGTTTGTCTATAGTGGGGGTGGTGGGGGAGGGGCCTTAGGGTTTGCGCAAAAAAGCTCATTTCAAGACTTCGTTCCCTGACTTTGGCAGAGCTAGGATCTTGGTCGAGTGCCATTCGACGTTTCCGTAGCTGCTCCTGGATGTTTGGATTTCTTTGGCCTGCTTGGTATACTCGTGACTTGCGCAACTTGCCGCCGTTCGGATATGTGCGGATGGAGCCTCGCGAGCCCCAACACAGAGATGACATAAGGAGAGGCCGAGGGAAGCCTCATGAGCACAGAAGACATTTCAATCTTTGAGACACATATCCCTTCGAGAGGGTCTCTTGGAGCTTTGAATGTCAAGTCTTAGGGCACCGAGTCTGCCCAGGAAGAGTCCCGGCAGACTGGTGCGTGGATAAAGAGAAGCTGCCCCAACTCGAGGCCTGCGCAGCGCTGCGTTCCCATGTGATGGTTCACTTGAGTCCTTGTGAGTCCCCCTGAGTCCCTCTTTGAGTCCTCTGTGGGCCAAGGTGCTGGTCGAGGAAGGCCCCACATCGAGGGCCAGATTCGATGTGCACATTTATGTGGAGAGGCATCCGGACTATTACGTCAACAACGTCATCTTCTTTGTGGGCATGTTCACTTTGTGCACGGCTTTTGCCTTCTCATCTGCAGTCACCACCAAGAAGAAGGACACAGACCCCACTTCTGAGCACAAGCAATTGGAGATACTCCTAACCCTGTTGCTCACCACTGTCGCGCACAAGATTGTGCTGGCGAGCTGGTTGCCAGTGAAGCCATACCAGACAAGTCTCGACTACTACATTATGTTCTGCTTTATGTTCCAGGTTGGGGTCATGGCCTACTGCGTCTGGGCTGAGCCGATCGAGGATCAGCTCGCAGAATGGGCCAGCAATGCGGGAACAGCCGGATGGCGGTGGGCCGAATCCCTGTTCCAGATCTATGAGCGCTGGGGCTCTTACAGTGTCTACGGGCCGCTTCTCCTACTCCACCTCTTTGTCTTTGCGGTGCTGAAGTTCCACGACAGCAACAAGAACCCGGTCGGTCGTTGGTTCTACGACCGTCTCTTCATCGAGGACTGGCACAGCGTGTACAGGCGGAAGCAGGTGTGGCCCAAGAAGGACCCACCTTGCTCCATCTACCAAGAAGGCTTGGAAGAGAAGATGGTGGAGTCGGCCGTGGAGTCGGACAGCGAGACGCAGTCCGAGACTTGAGAGATTGCGAGCACTTCCGGACTCATGCCAAACAAAAAGGCGGGTCGTGAGTTAATGCCCCTTTGCCGACCCCAGACCCCTCAAAGAGCCTGCTGGGGTGGGGGGAGGACAAGTCGCACCAGGCTGAGTTCCCAAAGAAGGTCTCAGCAAAAGGCTTCTTTGAAGCCTCGGACCCTTGGAGCTTGCATCCTGTGGCTCTTTGCTGAAAGCTTTGAGGCTTCAGCGGCTTGCGAAACAAGAAGCGCTCTGCCCTCGTTCCATGGGCTTGGGGTTCTTAGAATCATGCATCATTCCCATGTAGCAAGACAGGGCCATGGACTTGTGTCCAACTTCAGGAATCTTCTCCGAAGCCCTGTGGGTCAACTGCGACTCCCCTCTCGCCGGCTTGGTGTCATTTGATGTCATTTGCAGGGTTGAAAGTCTGCCGGGCACGGTATCGGGCTAAACTCGAAACCACAAGCACTAAGCCCTAAGTTTAAGCAGCAAGCACCTGGGAGCTTGAGGCATCTTGCCTTAGCCACAAGCCCTCAAAGACCCACAACGCGCAGACCTTGAATCCCAGAAGACACCAAGCAGGTTGAGGGTTCAGGGTATAATCCCAAGAAGAAGAGCAACTTCCCAAAAAGAAAAACAAAAAAATAACATCGACAAGTTCTCAGAGTCCCTCCTCAGAACCCGTCAGAACCCCCTCAGAACCCCTCAGAACCCTCGAACACCACCGTAAAGCATCTTTGTGTAAAGCCCCTCGACCTCAGGCCGCAGCCCAGCCAGCCCTTGATTCAGGATTACAGGTTAGAGGCTGAAACGGCACAATATATAACAGATAGGCATATAATATACATATATATATATATATTATCTAAGTTCAGGCCCTTGTAAATGCAATTTTGACAAAACGGGCCACGTATTGGACGTGTCGAAACGCGCGAGCGCGCGGACGGGCGACGCGCGATGCGCGGATGCAGCGCGCGATGCTGCTGTGCGGCGCGCGACGCTATAGACGCGCGGCGCGCGCAGAGACTTGCCCACGCCGACGTGCCTGCCCCGGCGCTCGCAGCCATGCGAGGGTCGCTTTGCAGAAGCCGAATGGCCGCGGCCCTGGTTGGGCGAACCTTGGCACAAGCTTTCGCACCACACTTCCAGCATGCTTGCCTTCCTCACCAATACGCGCGAGCGGGTGCGCGAGCTTTATGAGGCCTACCGGCGCGCGCTCTGGGCCCAAGCGCACGTGGAGGAACCTCCCGGAATCTCCGCCCTGCAGCTGGACCAAGACGCCCAGGTCTGGGTCGGGGACTGGGCGCTGCCACCTCGCGGACAGGGGCTCACGGTCCTTGGCACACCCTTTGGCACTGACGCGTACATCCAGCAGCGACTGGAGCTCAAGCGCGCGGAACATGACCGTCTCCTCCAGCGCATCCCCCGCGTCGAGGACCTGCAAGCCTCGTAGTTGCTGTTGCACTATTGCGCCCGCCCGCGCGCAAACTACCTCCTGCGTGCCCTGCCCCCGGCCGCCACAGCCGAACATGCAGATCAGCACGATGCAGCCATGCTCCACTGCCTCGCCACGCTTCTCGGCCATGACTCGCGCTGCGCACCTCGCTCTGCGCTTTGGTGGACTGGGCCTCCAGGCAGCACGCCGCGACCGGTACGTTGCTTACTGGGCCTCTTGGATGGACACTCTCCCGGTCATTCGCCTCCGCGCCCTCGTTGACCGCATCATGCAGTGCCTCCGGCCCCAGCTGCTGGCCGCATGCCCTCGGTGCTAGCGGCCACGTAAGAAGCGGCTTACCTGCGCAACGAAGGCGCGCAAGTCGCTAGTTGGGAAGAAGCGATTCCCGGCCAAACCGACTTGCGCCCCCGTGGCGGGTGGGAGCGGATTGCTGCCCATGCCTGTGATGAGCGCGCGCATCTTTCTGCTCTCACACCAGCCTCTCGCGCGCTGCTGCTTTCACAGGCCGGGCCACACTCCGCAGGAGCCCTCGCGGTTCCGCTTACCTCCGAGGATGTATCCATCCCCTCGCCCCACTTTCGGATCCTCCTCCGTCGCCTTCGCCTCCCCCTGCCGCTTGGGTCGCGTGCCTGCTCCTGCCGAGGCCCACTCGACGTGTACGGCGACCACCGCGCCGCTTGTGCCACGTCTGGCATCCTCGCCTCCCGAGCCGTTCCGATCGAGCGGGCCATCACACGGCTCTGCCAGGAAGCCGGAGCCCGTGGTCGTAACGTTGCTTTAGTGGCCATGAACCTCCTTTGTGCCTCTGTGGAGGCTGCCATTCCGCACGCCCGAACGCAGACCACCAGTGTCGCCACCGACACCACTAAACCGTGGCCGTGGACTGTTTTAGATTAGAGTTAGAGTCCAGAACCAAAAACACTTCGAGATGCGGTGTGAGATTGAATAAGCATCGAGTCTTTCCATAGCCTAGGACGCTTGTTGAGATTCGAGACACTAGCAATACAGTGCTGGGTCTCAACAGTCAAGTCGGACGGGGCCTTGCAAAAGGCAGGTTCTGGTAGGAGCCGTGTTACACGTTGGTACATGTTCCTGGAGCTAGACACTCTGCCACTGCTCACAAAAGGTGCTGCACATGCATTGACATACCGCTGCATGCATTTTCTAGCTTATTCTGCAAGTTTAAAATAACACAGTATGAATTGAATTGAATAATAATAACTATTTACTTGTATAGTATTATTATATAATATATAGTGTATAGTCTACAGACTATAGATTATAAACTATACAAATTTTTATAGATTTATAGACCTACTCATAACAGATTGTATCCGAGATATCCAATTTTGTACATTTATAGCTTTTAACCTTTGTAACTTATAACTATAACACGGCAGAACGACAATTGAACACACTGGGAAGCTGCGTGAACGGATTGAGCTTACTATGCAGCGCAAGATCAGTTGTTACTGCATTGCGCCAAACCACCAGTCGCAAGAACTCGCGCCCACAGCGATTCACATTTACCAGGGAGGTGGTTGAAGTCCCCAATCACAAAGAGTTCAATGGCTGCGTTTTTTTGCTCGAGATACGATTGAAGGCCCTCTCCAACTACAGCAAGCCGATTAGACCTCGCGCAAACAGAGATTATTATTTGGGAGTTTCCGAAAATAGGGGGTACCCTATTTTGGGCTCCTAATAATAAGGATCCTACTCTTAGGGTACTATATTAGGGTCCCCTATTTTCGGAACCCCCCATTTAGGGCCATGGATGGACTCGTCGGTACAAAGCCTCCTTCTGGAGGGCCCAGCAGTGGCGGCAGCGGCGGCGGCGGGTCGGACGCGAACGTGCGGGCGCACGGACGCGTACGTGCGGGGCGTACGGACACAAGCGCGCGGGCGTACGGAAACACGCACGCGGGCGTGCGGACACACGCACGCGGGCGCGCGGACACAACCGAGCGGGTGTACAGACGCGAACGCGCGGGCGTACGGACGCGACGTCGTACGCGGGTGTGCGATGGCGCGCGCGCTCGGGCGCGCAGACGCAGCCCCGCGGGCAGGGCCTTATTTTGTTGACACGCGAAAAACAAGGATGTTTTGTGTTGAAAGAAAGCGGCTACACTCGGGATGAGGGGAGGCGGGTTCGGGCTTGGAAACTGTTGCTGTCGCTGCCACGCTTGCTCCTCGGGCGCTCCACACGGTCTGGACCCGAGGGCCGGGCTGCTCTCCTCCGCCGGTTAAAGCTCTTTTCGCAAGGCCGCTTCGACACACTGTATACGCCCAGTCTCTTGCGGCGCTCGAGGAGTCCGGGCCCCGCCGTCGCGGACTCGAAAGCGAAGAGGCGCGCGCTGCCGCGGCTTGTGCCCGAGTCAAGCGTGGCGAACTTTCGCGAGCGCGCCAGACGCTCACAGCCGCCGCCCTTGCCCCCGGTGAAGCCGACACGCTCCATGCGCTGACGGATCCACAGCGTCGTCCGGTGCAGCCGCCGCGCACGGTCGGCTCCGACGTTACCCAGTTCCGGCCGCCCGCGGAGGTCTTGTTGTCGACACGCCAAGTCGGCGAGACGTTGCGCACCTCTAAGCGCGGCTCGGCGGCGGGCTTGTCCGGCGCGTCGGTCGAGCTGTACAAGCTGCTCCTCGACGATGCCGAGGCACTCGAGGCGTTTTCACCTTCGCAGTCAATGTCGCCGCTTTCGCGCCTCACCGCCTTCCGTAAACCTACTGGCGGCGTTCGGGGCATTGCCACAGGAGACGTGTTCCGGCGCCTCGTCTCCCGAGCTCTTGCGCGTGAATTCAACGGAGCGTTGGAGGCGGCCACCAGGCCGTTCCAATTCGCGCTGCAAACTCGTGCTGGCACTGACAGCCTAGCTGCGATGCTACGAGCAGCCGTCGATTCCGACCCTCGGGCCACCGTCGTCGCACTAGATGGCCGCAGTGCCTATGATACCATCCGCCGCGCGACCCGTCACTGCTGCCCTTTGCCCGAGCCATGTGCGCTCGTACGTCCACCTACCTCTGGTGGGACGACGCCGGACGACGGCACGAGATCGCGCAAGCCGAAGGAGTCGAGCAGGGTGACCCTCTAGCGCCGGGTCTCTATGCGCTGGCAGCCGAGCGGGTGTCGTCCGCAGCCTACTGGGCCGCGTGGGCGGACGCGCTGCCGGTCCTCCGCGCGCGCTACCCCGAAGTCGCTGACGGGCTTGTGCATGAGCTCGAGGGCGAGCCGGCGCGGCCTTGCTTGCGAGCAGCAGCACTTGCCGCGCACCGGCTCGTTGAGGCAGGCTGGGAAGCTCGACCGGATTGGGACGCTTGTGCCCGTGGCGCAGGCAGTCCGGCCGTCGACGGAGAACTCGGGCTCGGGAGCCCCGGTTGGCAGCGACACGCCGTTCTCGCACTCCACACTTCCTTTCGAGAACGCTTGCTGCTACCGACCTTGACTCCGGCCGCTCGAGCCCTTCTTCACCCTCAGTCGGGCCCGCATGCGGGGATGTGGCTGGCGGCGGCGATGCCTTCGGATGCTACATGGGGCTGACGCGCGCGGTTTT